GCCAGCACCAATAGTATCCTGAGCATGATCGCAAGCAGGCTGGACTGTGTATACATGGGTCGCTGTGGTGCCGTCTCCCATGGGATGTTACGACAGTAATTCATTGTGATGTAAATATAACTACTAACATAGGTCTAAGTCTTATTAACAATTTATATGAGTCATGGTTACTTGCAATAAAAACATTATTATTATTATTAACATTAACTGATCTTGCATTTGGTTGAATGGATGGACGAACCACCCAACACTTCGACGATTAGGATCGTTTGAGTCAGCCACCTGATTTTAATCAATTTCCTCAAATAGCATTCTCATTAATTTTGATACTGTTGGATGATAGGATTCTGTGGACAGAATAGATTTATCTTGTTCCGGGTGACCGTCCCCTAAGATGTTTATTCTGGTTCTTGTTAAGCCATACCATCCATTGATTGTGTGGTACGTGGCTTCTAATTCTCCAGAGCATAATTTGCAGGATTGTTTCGTCAGCTAAGATCATTTTGCATCTAATACCAAAGTTTTTTTTTCTTTTTCTTATATGGGTGGACGAGCTTACAGCCCACCCGGAGTTAAGTGGTTTCTGGAGACCATACACATCTACAACGTAAATGCGCCACCCAGTTTGAGATATGAGTTCTAGAGTCTCCGTATAGTTAAAACGGCTGCCCCCCCTTCAAACTGAAACGCATTACGGCTTCACGGCAGAAATGCTTCACGGTGGTACCTACCCGTGCGGACTCACAAGAGGTCCTACCACAAGTAATTACGCAAATTATAATTTTGCGAGTTTGATTTTTATTACACATGAAACGCGGCTTTTATTTTTCACGTGACCATCGATAAGTGCTCCGAAAACATTTCAACCCACGTCCCCCGAGTTTCGTAAATAAGTCATAAGTACGTCAGCAGGAACATAAAGCTCTGGCACGTTTCGCGGAGCTTTTCGCGGCCCCCGAAATAACAATGTTTATATTATTATTTTCTCCTCTCGCATCGCCCCAAACCGTACATTACTGGGAGCGGTACAACGCGCGCAGTGTACTTCTGTAGCGATTTGCATTTTTCCTACTGGACACATGTTGATTACCCTATTTACATATTAAATGGGAGAAACGGTCCATAATTAGCTGGTCTTTGTTTAAAATAAAATAAAAGAATGCTGCGATTTTACTTAAACGTATTGTTACGGCGATTTACTTAAAAAAAAACATTTAGGTGGATTATGGAGTTAGGTATATGAGGAGTTTAATTTTAAATTTAAATTGGTCAACCCTCTTGTCTGATGTTTCCTTTGTTTTACATTCGTTTTTAGTTTTAATTTTATCAGATTTCGTTTCAATAATAGCAAAACTTTTGAAAAAATCACAGATGTGTGGTGTCGTGGGACACCGGATAGGAACGAAGTTCCTTATTGTAAAAATATTAATTTTAAGTTCTATTCGAGGTATAAAGAAAATAAAACTGGAGGTTACGCAACAACCCACGGTCATTCGGTAACGTTCGAACTTATTGTGGTACTACACTTCATTCACGGTTGTTTGCATAAGAGTTAGTGTATTGCGCAAACGAACGCTCTGAGATCGTGGTCAATGAATGACAAAAAAATATGTTATTTTTTGTACGTTATTACAAAGTTAAGTCGTACACTGTGTGCATTACTAATAAAAATCTTACGTTACGGACCTTTTTTCCCGGTTAGGTTACCCCTCCGCATCGTCCCATAAGGAACTTCGTTCCAAAAAAAAAAAAAACTGAATACAACAAAGTAAAATGAAAATTTCATCGATTTAGTCATAGCCAATTAAATATGCATTAATAAAGTTAGAGTTTCAAAGACTACTGGTCAAATCTTGATAATTTTTTATTAAGTTAACATGAATTAGCGGACGCAACCAAACATTGAAACCTAAGTTGATTATTTCCATAAAATAATTTAAATTGAGATCAGTGAGATTTATTCTTCTGTTTTACATAACTTACGAGATACCGNCATCGATTTAGTCATAGCCAATTAAATATGCATTAATAAAGTTAGAGTTTCAAAGACTACTGGTCAAATCTTGATAATTTTTTATTAAGTTAACATGAATTAGCGGACGCAACCAAACATTGAAACCTAAGTTGATTATTTCCATAAAATAATTTAAATTGAGATCAGTGAGATTTATTCTTCTGTTTTACATAACTTACGAGATACCGCCAGTTGACATTTGTAACTGAGAGTTGGACGTAGGAGAGACGAATGTTCTAGGATCAAGTTGGCCTCCGTGAAAGTAATGCTGCTATCTGTCTGCTGGACAAGTCTCTCCCTCACATGGAAGCTTACCGTTTTGTGCTGCTCACATCGTACCGTAACGACGAGTAGACTATAGTTTTCGACTTATTTTAATACTAGCGACCCGCCCTCGGTTCGCTTCGGAAACATTAAATTTTATTATTGATAGGCGAGTCCCGCCATATTGCACGCGGTACGACAATAACTGCGGGTGACGCCGCGGGGCGAAGCTAGTCTAAAAAAGTAGCCGAAGTTACTCCTTGTATTATCAGATACCTATTAGTGAAAGTCTCATTAAAATCGGTTCAGCCGTTCCAGAGATTAGCCGGAACAAACAGACAGACAGACAGACAAAAATTGTAAAAAATGTTATTTTGGTATATATATTCATATGCATGTAGTAAAAAGCGGTTATTTCAATATTACAAACAGACACTCTAATTTTATTTATATGTATAGACTAGCAGATACGACAGACGTCCCGGAAAAAGCATCAATCATAGCTTGTATTGCTAATATTTATACTTATTAATTTTACAAATTTATATTCGTTACTTGTGTGTGGGTTTATGTGAGTGGAGTGACTGTGTTTGGAGAGTAGTTTAGTTATTTTAATTTTTTACGCCACAAACATAGTAAATTTCCATTTTGACTTGATCTTCGAGAGTACAGTATTGTTTTCCAAAGGTATAGCTTAAGGTAATTTTTGTTTGCTAGTTAATTAAACTGAGTGAGTTTGATTTGGAGCACGAATTTATTGAAGAGCCATTATACTAACTCATTACCATTTACCTTACTCATTACCAATTTTATCACTGATGGTAAGACCTCTTGTGAGTCCGCACGGGTAGGTACCACCACCTCGCCTATTTCTGCCGTGAAGTAGTAATGCGTTTCGGTGTGAAGCGCAGGGCAGCCGTTGTAACTATACTTGAGACCTTCTAACTTATATCTCAAGGTGGATAGCTCACTTACGTTGTAGATGTCTATGGGCTCCAGTAACTACTTAACACCAGGTGGGTTGTGAGCACGTCCACACATCTAAGCAAAAAAAACTTCAGAGGTCTCAAGGGACACCCGGATGGAACGAAGTTCCTTTCGATTAATTAGTGAAGGAATTGTAAATTTTTTTTAAGTTATAATAATAAATTACGGCATTATGAAGAAGAAAAAAACAATACTATGAACTAAATTACTATTGTTGAAACGCTATCTCGAGAAACTGTACTCATTACGCGGACCAATCGGATACGAGCAATGTCACGCGATAAGCGCCTACACGTTGATTGGTCAGAATGACGGATCTAAAAGGTGTCGTGACAGCTTTTCGTAAGAATTTTTTCCGTCTAGCCCCCTTTCAAAACGCGCGATAAGGAACTTCGTTCCAAAACTTCGTTCCAAAAAAATATAACAATAAAAATACAGAGCCATGCAAGGGATTACTATATACAATCAAACAGTAACAATATACACGTAATTTGTTACATCACAGTGTAACAGTGGGTCGGTGTTAGTCTTGAATCTGGAACGCTGCGAGGACTAAGGCCAGTTTTATTGCATGTTGTTTTCGTTTTATGAGCTATTCATGAGTCGTTTGTTCCGAAACGCTTCAAGTTCTGCTGTCGAATCCTTAATGAGCCTAGTTTAGTTCTCAGTTCTTTTTGTATTAACAACAGACTCTATGAAGAGTTATTTTAAATTTGTTTTTCCTGTCTTTTACGCCTTTATCTATTTAATACTAGCTGACCTGGGATACTTCGTAGTGCCTCAATCGATAAATAAAAGACATATCAAGGGGACACATCAAAGGAAAAACAAAATTGATTGTTTTTATATAATTCCGAGCTTTTTTTTATATTTTCTTACCTTTTAAGCCTTCCCTGGACTTCCACGAATAATTCAAGATTAAAATTAGCCAAATCGGTCCAGCCGTTCTCGAGTTTTAGCGAGACTAACGAACATCAATTCATTTTTATGTATAGAGATATGGGTTTATAACTTTAAATTCAATTTTATAAACACGACTTGAAAGCATTTTATTGACATATATTTTTCGCATATTCTTCTCTTTTTTGTTTTGAGTTTTGTTATTTTTAAAAGAATAATAAAAAATCTAACCTTGGTATAGAAGTTGAATTTGATATTTAGAAAATTGAATTTGATGTATATGAAGGGGATTTTGAAGTTTGTAAAATTGAGTTATAGTTAAAAACCCATATAGGTAGGTATAGGTCGTATAATCAGTCTATATTTTATATATTTGAGTTACTGTTCCAAAAATGCCAAACACTATAATATTTATATGACATTTGATATATAATGGATACAAACGCAAAGTATTTTTTTTAATTAATTTCTTATTGATTTTTTTTCCATCTTCCATTCGACTTGAAATGTATATTGCGTCTAATCGTTGAGCTTATATACAGTAGTAGTATAAAGTTGAATAAGGATGGTCTTAAAACAAATCTATATATATATATAATAAATGAATAGCTGTTCGTTAGTCTCGCTAAAACTCGAAAACGACTGGACCGATTTGGCTAATTTTGATCTTGAATTATTTGTTGAAGTCCAGAGAAGGTTTAAAAGGTAGATAAATATGAAAATTCTCGGAATCAAATAAAGTTTAGGTCTTTTATTTATCAATTGAGGCACTACGAAGTCTGCCGGGTCAGCTAGTATTAAATATGTATGGTCTATTAAAACTCCAATGTCGTATTTTTTTAACTTATAATGGATAAAAGTTGATATAATATGCATTATTAAGAATTATAAACATAACATTTATATATATAATATAATATTAATTGTTCTGTGCTTATGTACTATAACTACTAATATACTTATTCTTCTTAATTGTGTGTTTCATAATAAGAACGTTGTTTTTAATTACAATTCGACGTTCGTTTCAATGCCAGAAAGCTTTGGTTTTAAAAGTGCACTAAGCTGTACCACTTTGGTGGACTGTAGGCCAAACATTCTGTTCGATCCAATCAATGAAGCTCGACACTCTCGTGTATATCCCGGGCAGTTCAGGGAGAGCACAGCCGATCCCGAATGACGTCACGCCGATTATACAATATATCTTGCCTTGAGACGATGTAGGAAGAGATATTTCAACTTGGAGAGGACCTCCAGAGTCACCCTGTAGAGATGAAAGTGAATTGTGAGCTCGTAATGCTACCATCCTACTCATCATTCCTGTTTCCATGGTACCTATCCCAGATATTTGAATCTTATTTAGATTTTTTCCGTATCTTTTTTGGTGTTTATGGGTCTTGGCAAACAGGCTAAGTTGGCTATTGAAGAAGAGATGCCTACCGAGTCCTAAATTGCGAGCGTATTTTGCTAATTTGGGCACTAGTAGCAGAAAACTACAATTCGCAGAAGGGAAGAAACCAGTAAATGAAAATAAAAGGAAGAATTGTCAAAGACAGATTAAAAAAAGAAAATTCTCGAAGAAACTAAAATCGCATTACACTATCGGATTAGTAGCTGACCATTATATAGTATAATCTAATAATATAATAATGATTTTAATGTACTTCACACGTCACATCCATTAGTAACTTCCCAGTTGCCCTTTATATAGAGGTTCACTGTCAGTACATGTTACTGTTACTTCTCTGAGCCTTTGATAGGTCACGTCACGACTCATCATGCCGATTATCGTCCGGAATGATGGATATTTGAAGAGGCGTTGTTTGTTATGGGTTGTTTGGTGAAGTAAAAAAAATCGAAAGGTGTAAGTATCAGTGAATTACAAGGAAGACTGCAAAATTGATTTAAAATATTCCGCCTCTGTAGATGAACAAAATATAGACAGTGTTTCATAAATTTATTTTGACTGCAAATAAGTTTAAGGTTCATCCGGTGTGTGAACAAAGGTAGAAGATATTTAATGATTTAGAAATCACAATTTCAGATGTTAACTAATCAACTAAAGTAAGTGCAGAAAATCAATGAAAAAAGAAGAAAATCAATGATAATTATTTAATGGTAAGTTATAATAGCATCCACAAATGTCACGGTTTTTATTTGTTTTGATTTTTGTTGTATGTTCAGTATGTACAGATATGCTCACAATTTGCTATTTAATTAGTTTGAGCACACACACACAACTGTTACTGGTGGTAGGACCTCTTGTGAGTCCGCACGGGTACCACCACCCTGCCTATTTCTGCCGTAAAGCAGTAATGCGTTTCGGTTTGAAGGGTGGGACAGCCGTTGTAACTATACTGAGACCTTAGAACTTATACCTCAAGGTGGGTGGCGCGTTTACGTTGTAGATGTCTATGGACTCCAGTAACCACTTAACATCAGGTGGACTGTGAGCTCGTCCACCCATCTAAGCAATAAAAAAAAACGTAAATTACGACATTTATATTTTCAATTAATGAAGTTTCATTTGTATTATATTATTATAATATATAGGTACATATAAATGGATTCAATGACTGCAAAGACATATAATATGTCAAATGTTCTAACTTTTAAACTGGAACTCAAGAAATAGGCAAGGCATATATTTTAAAGGTCTATAAATAAAGATACTAACCTGACATGCATCCACTCCCCCAGCCAACTTCCCAGCGCACAGCTGATGATCTTCGACACCGCACCAGTGTCTGTTGCACGAAGTCTCGAGCAATTGCTGACATTGCGGGGTATCTATCAAATCTATTACGATAGCTTGCAGTTCGGGCGATATGTCAGTGCTTCCTAAAAGAGATTGTTTGTGCTTAGTTTCAGCTTGAATCCTCCCTACTTTGTAGGGTAAAGTAAGTAATATTATAAGTAAGTACGTATGAATGTTTGTAGCGCAAGTGTTGCAATTTTTTTTTTTTTTTTCTTTTTTTTAATCACGCCACGTTAACTGGTCCCGTGCTAAGTTCGTAAAGAACTTGTGTTACAAGTACCAGATAACGGAAATAAATATAATATTTTTATTATACACATACATATATTTAATATACACCCATAACCCTGGAAAGACATTTATATTTATCATACAAATATCTTCCCTTGGCGGGATTNTCGTAAAGAACTTGTGTTACAAGTACCAGATAACGGAAATAAATATAATATTTTTATTATACACATACATATATTTAATATACACCCATAACCCTGGAAAGACATTTATATTTATCATACAAATATCTTCCCTTGGCGGGATTCGAACCCGCGACCCCCTTGTGTAGTGACCATGTCACTTACCACTACACCAGACGGCCGTTTAAAATTGAGCGGTGAAAATATCCCCTCCACGGTGTTTCCCGAGCGCTATCACATGTCCTTCTTTAAAAAAGGCTTGTGGAGAGTATTAAGCGGTAGGCAGCGGTTTGGCTCTACCCCTGGCATTGCTGAAGTCCATGGGCGACGGTAACAACTCACCATCAGGTGGGCCTTATGCTCGTCTGTCTACAAGAGCAATAAAAAAAAGTATTAATTAGATGCAATTAAAAAAAATTAAGTCTAAATTTGAAATTTATTTTTCCATAATTAAAAGAAATGGCCACATTAGTTCACGGCTCGCTTGGCTATTGGAGCTTATTGAAACAATTTATACGAAATTATGGAGCGTTCGTAGTCCAATGGAGACGGCTGCTGTAATAAATAGTATCATATGATTGTGCCAGAATTCAAATCAGACATGCATCTACTTTTCTAAGTAAATCGGTCATTAACATTTGTAGATTAACGTCAAGTATTTTTTAAATGTTTGTGTAATTAACCATATTGCCTATTGCAACCACGAAGGAGTTGTACGATCAGATTGAAGGATGGAAGAATTTTTATTTAATTTATTTGATATTTGTACTATACTGTAACTATACTGAGACCCTTAGAACTTATATCTCAAGGCGGGTGGCGCATTTACGTTGTAGATGTCTATGGGCTCCAGTAACCACTTAACACTAGGTGGGCTGTGAGCTCGTCCACCCATATAAGCAATAAAAAAATAAATAAAAAAACTTGGACGTCATGTCTCGAGTTATTATGTGTTAGTTCCTCGATAGCCACTTAGTCCACGTGTAAAAAAAAACAGCATCATTAGCTTGGATTAGGGTCCATAGCGCCATATATTACTTACTTGCATCGACAACTCCCCATCCTGTCGCACTAGCTTTTTTCCCCAAACTGCTGAGATCGAAGTGAGGCCAAAGGCATGCCGGCTGTACGTACTTGCTGAAGAAGACATCTTTGTCTAACTCCATGAGGGCAATGTCGAAGTATTTCTTGGGAGGATTGTAGGATGGATGTTTAATGATATTTACGATTTCTCTGTCTTCAGGGATTATGCCATCGTTTACTTCCTAGAAAATGTTTTTTAATAAAAGTATTTTCAAATAATTTAGAACATACTAATTGTGACCCAAAATCTCCTTTTTACGAAAATTGCGCGGACGGAGGAATATAAAATTTCCCACACTTATAGAGAATATAGAGAAGAAGTGCTGAATGCTAATATTTTTTTTAATTATGCATAAAAATACATTATACATATCATATATACAGAAAACATTACACACACTACCATGTATTTGACACACACACATATACTCTTTGTTTATTGTCAAACTTTTCTTATTGCTTAAAATCTGTAGTCAAATTTAGAATAGGTTAATATTGTTAATGTTTAATATTATTTGTCTACAGTGTAGTCTTGGCGAAATCTGTGATTATAGAAGTATAATAGTCTTTGACAATAGAACCATAATAATGTTCAAACTTATAATTTCAATTAATTATAGTCGAATTTCGACTACTGCAGTATATGCAGCAGACTAGTATTTTAAAAAAAGCCACTAAGGCTGGTCTCATTTTTCGTAACGATATTTTCGCATTTATTTAGATAAGCAAGTAGAAGTTTGTAACTTAGGACATAGCTATTACCTTGTCTAAAATATATTTGTCGCCGAGTCTGACGATCTTAGGAATAGGATCAGCGATGGAAGTGTCTTTCAGGGAGAAGCTCGTACAATGAGCCGCAGTCAGTATAAATTTATTGCTAATTAACGATCCACCACATTTGAATATCCAGGATCCAACGACTGCCTGCCAGCCTATGGCACCCTATAAAAATAAAATCTATATATTAATACGTGAAGCAGAAACTTTGTATCCCTTTTTACGGAGATTGCGCGGACGGAAGAGTATGAAATTTTCTACAGTTATAGAGAATATAGAGAAGAAGTGCAACAATGCTAATTTTTTTTTTAAATAATGCATAAAACATACATTAAATCAATAAAGAAAACATTACACACACTACATACCATGTATTTGACGCGCACACGCATGCATACTATTTATTGTCAAACTTTTGTTCTTGACGTCTGTGGTCAAATTGAAAATAGATTGGCGAAATTTGTGATTATAGAAGTATAAAATACAATCATAATAGTGTACAAACTTACAATTCCAATTAATTATAGTCGAATTTCGACTACTGCGGGACCTCTAGTATCTAAAAGTATGCTATATAGGTAACAATTAAAGTATGTTTTGGTCAAGTTAAAGTTTTTTTTTTGTAGTATGAAATAAAAATCTATTGCTAAATGTTTACCGGAACTCATAAATGGGAATTCCTTGAGATATGAGTTTTTTTTATGAATTTGGGATTGTTGGTGGCCCAGAGGCTATTCAGTTTCACAAGGACAGATGGGCGAGCAAGGGCTCAGCCAGGAGGGGTGAGATTTGCCAACAGCTACCCGAGCACCTCTACGGGAGACCTAAGAACTCAAGAGTAGCTGTTTTGCGAATTAATCTAATTAACTAATTAATTATAATAATTAATCTTCTACCGGAGAGACACGAGATCAACATGTCTACTATCCTAAAAAATTTGGTATTGGAGATTTGGAGTTGTGCGGATCTAAATTTATTGTTTCATTTTCTAGCAATATTTAACATGGGAGAGGAACTAATATGTGAAAAGAAAATACTAAAACCCTGTTGTATATTATTATAGGTATTTTAGATTAGATTATATTTTAAATTATTAAGTAGATTTTTCTCGACTTTTACTCTAATATTTTATTATATTTTACATTAAAATTATTATTATTATTATGTTGTTAACAAACCATGTGTGGAAATTCGCCAGGTAATGTGTTGCGTCCCCCAATAGCAAATGATGGCTGGACATTACTATGCAGCTTAAAGCCTGAAATATTCAGAATTTTTTTTTGCCTTTATAAGCAGACGAGCATACGGCCCACCTGATGGTGAGTGGTTACCGTCGCCCTTGGACTTCAGCAATGCCAGGGGCAGAGCCAAGCCGCTGCCTACCGCAATTGTTTAAGATATTTGACGATATGCCAATCTGAAATCTATACGGAGTGGAGACGACGGTAACCTTTAATTGAAGTGAGTACATTGTGTATTATTTTAACACTGATATAAAATTAATCTTTCTAGCGCACTTAATAAGTTAGGCACAGAATAATATTATCATTTCTTGTTGAATTAGGCTAATCAAAATTATTTCTGTACAATTGCTTCTTTCTAATATAGTGTTTATAAGGATTAGTCAAAATCTGTGTCAAAAGCTTGTGTTTTTTTAAAGACGAAACCACCATCTCCGCTCTTTGCCGTAAAATACATTACTTACATTTGTCCAATCTTCGATCACGCTCTTCTCTGAAATTTATATTCCATAGATATTCATAGCATTCTGTAAAATAGAAAATTATATAATACTTCGAGGTTTTATTCAGGATAACATTTTAATGATTAATTATTCAATAGCTTTTCGATTTTTTATTTATTTTATTTATTTATTTATGTACACACAGAAAAGAAGACATAGTACAGAGTAATAGGAAAATTATGTACAAAGGCACTGCTTATTTCTTTAAGAAATCTCTTCCAGCAGACCTGCGAGAGGATAATGAGAATAATAATAAAAAATGATGAGTGTGTGTAGAACAATTAACACATAACTAAAATAACAAATACAACATGAGAATTATAGTAATGCACATACACATAGTAAATATTGTTAAACTTGAATACAAAATATTATAAGTAACACAGTAACACTCGTATATACGAAGAGTATAGAACCATGATCATTCGGTTGATGAGAGATAAAATTGTTTGACCTTGTATTTAAAAACAGAAACAGACTTGCAAACTCGGATGTCAGCCGGCAGTGAATTCCACAGTCTGACCGCATGCACAGTAAAGGAGTGAGAATAGATTGTTTGTTTTGGTTATAAAACGCAGATCCAAATTACAAAATATTTTCAATCTCAATTCAAAAGCCAATCTCTGGTAAGTATTCTTTAAATTTAGTAATGTTTATATAGAATACTTTGATTAATACCGATGACCGCATAAGGACTAGGATACATCACAAGTGTGCCACATTATGGTGATGTGGCCGAACACTAAGGCAATGTATATTTGCTTTTAATCAAAACTCCTAGATCCTTACACTTTGAAGGGTCTGAATAAAGTTGATATTGAGAACTCAATTGCATACGTCAAGATGCCAAAATATATTGTTATTTTTGAAATTGACTTACTGACTTCACTGATTCTTCTTCCAGGTTTCTCGAAGTTGGGTACTGTTGGATTATACGGTTTGCACACTTCAGGTTCTTCGGTGGTTGCAGACTGGTTGTTCTGTTACCGCAAAAGTTTTTACAGTATTCTTTTAGTTTATCTATTTATATTCACTAACTAGCTGACCTGGCAGACTTCGTAGTGCCTCAATCGATAAATAAAAGACCTAAACTTTTATATAAAATAAACTTAAAACAAACAAAAGGAATCCGTCCGACGGGCGACACGTCAAAGGAAAAACAAAATTGTTATTTTTATTTAATTCCGAGCATTTTCATATTTATTTACCTTTTAAACCTTCTCTGGACTTCCACAAATAATTCAAGACCAAAATCAGCCAAATCGGTCACAGCCGTTCTCGAGTTTTAACGAGACTAACGAACAGCAATTCATTTTTTTATATATAGAAATTATGATGTAACTCTTAACTGATGTAGCTGGATAAATAGCCTGATCATACGCGATCATACAGAGGATAATGATGACGAGTGAAATCAATAGAATTCATACTCACGGATTTTGTATTGTCCACATAGCCCCAAGACCATATTTCTTCTGGCTAGAAGCAGAAATGGTGGAGAAAAACAAAACATTATACATACTGATATAAAATATTTTCAAGCTATGATATTAAAAGTAATCAACAGTAAGGATTTCCTTACAAATTGATTTCCACGTGCTTCTTCGCGATAAACATCAGTTTGGGTCACAGTTTTCCCAGTATCACCAATACTCAAGGTAGGAGTTAAGGGATGCTAACACTAAACCAATGTGAGGGATGAAAATACTGTTGACGAAGAGGCAGAGAGAAGGGAGAAACTAGCAGGATAAACTGTAGTAGACGGTTGTGCTGGTAGAATAGGAAGAAGTAATAATATTAGATATAAAATTACTGGTTTCCATTACTTTACTGGTGGTAGGACCTCTTGTGAGTCCACACGGGTAGGTACTACCGCCCCGCCTATTACTGCCGTGAAGCAGTAATGCGTTTCGATTTGTAGGGTGGGGGCAGCCGTTGTAACCATACTGAGACCTTAGAACTTATATCTCAAGGTGTGTGGCGCATTTAAGTTGTAGATGTCTATGGGCTCCAGTAGCCACTTAACACCAGGTGGGCTGTGAGCTCGTCCACACATCAAGCAATAAAAAAAAAAACCTACCAATTTTTTTTAACAACAATGCGTTTTTCGCATCTACTAGGCACCAGAAACAACGAATCCATTCATGTCCCTAATTGTTGAATTTGATTGTATAATCCATGGTCAAGTTTGTTTACAACGGCCCAACGCACATAATATGAAGTTGCGTTCAGTTGAGTAATGTTAAGTTAGTGTGGCAATTCAAATACATTAGAGATGACCGGTTTTCAATTTATAATTATTTATTACATTTATAATTATTATCATATTGAAATAAGTTTCTATAATCACGTGAATGCTTGAAGCCGATAATCGAAGTAATGATTTCACAGGCAATAAATTGAAAACTGTTTTCGTGTAAGCTTAGAATCAAATAAAAGATCGAAAAGAACAAACCCGTTTATTTCCATCAGAGTTGTTATCACTAGAACCTTGCAGTGCGTCGTTTTCTGGGTGCATTAACACTTCGGCCACTGAAAACACATATATATATATATCTATAAAATTTTACTGCACCCTACGAAATTTTTCTTAAGAAATGTAATTAACGCACCGATGCAAAAGGTTATTGCAAACAATACTTCCAGTCTCAATAACGATGTAACCGCCATGTTATGTGACGCAAATTTGGACTTTGTAAGTATTCTATTAAACACCGCGCACTTCGGACGATTATGTTGGAATAACGTAGTATCGGATATCGGCGAATATTATATGAAGCGAATGATGTCGTTGGCACTCCGACCGGTTTTACGAGGGAAGACCTTTGAGATCATGAATTGAATAACGATGTGTAGCGTTTCGAACAAAAAATTGTGTCCACTTAATAACACAATTTCGATCTTAACTACTGACGCCTTTTGATTTAGATTCATTTTATGTACTCTATTTTTTTTTTTTTTTGATATTGACATTCTGAAAAAAATACTATTTCCAATTTTTTAATGATAACATTAGTGTTTATCAATAATTACTTTTCATAAACAATTTCAATTTCGTATCAAGCCAAATCCGTATCAGTATACATATATACGTAGGTTATATTTATCCGGGCAGGTTTGCAATTCCTCTAATCACGAGTCAAAACATGTATACACTAAAAATTAAGAAAAAAAAAACAGAATCATCGGGAAAGAAAATTAAGCTGTAGGTATTAATGTAATTATTATGTTTATTAATGTAATTATGTAATTGTATGTAATTATTGACAATCAAAAAGCACGCAATCGGAGAGTGATACTTTTATTTTGTGTAATACCCAATTTTTGTTGCCAGGATGATTTAGTGAATTGCTTTAATACAAGAAAAAAATACCTAAAAAGTATTAGCATGGTCTTTAATTGTAACGGCTTCACTTTGAAAGTATGAAATGTTACGTGGTCACGTTTCTCGTATCAAAGTGCTAGGTTACAGCGCTTAAGGAAATTACTTGAATTAAATCTACATCTAGGGAATAGGGAATATTTTTAGTGACGAATTCCGCACATGCACGGCATGATTCGACAACAGTGAAAATGGAATTTGAACTTTTTGAATGGACTAATAATACCAACTTTTGTAGTCGTCGTGGCCTAACGGATAAGACGTCCGGTGTTATCGTGTTGAAGCGATGCACGGGTGTTCGAATCCCGCAGGCGGGTACCAATTTTTCCAATGAAATACGTACTCAACAAATGTTCACGATTGACTTCCACGGTGAAGGAATAACATCGTGTAATAAAAATGAAACCCGCAAAATTGTAATTTGCGTAATTACTGGTGGTAGGACCTGTTGTGAGTCCGCGCGGGTGGGTACCACCACCCTGCCTATTTCTGCCGTGAAGCAGTAATGCGTTTCGGTTAGAAGGGTGGGGCAGCCGTTCTAACTATACTTGAGACCTTAGAACTTGTATCTCAAGGTGGGTGGCGCATTTACGTTGTGGATGTCTATCGGCTACAGTAACCACTTAACACCAGGTGGGCTGTGAGCTCGTCCACCATCTAAACAATAAAATAAAATAAAAAACTGAGTTTCTCACAGGATTTTTTCTCAGCGAGCTGCGATTCTGATCTCAGGCGAGATAAACGCACTAAGGAGCTTGAGCTCATCCTTGAGCAGTTAGGGCGCTTTTGGATGTGCTCGGTAAGTTGTTACCAAATCCCACCTGTCACGGCTGAGCCCACTTTTGCTACCAGGAGATCCTCCATACAAATAAAAGATAGATCTGAAGGATTTACTTCATCTATACTTAGTAGATTTAGAAATTATAATCTTAGATGTGCAGGCTCTAGTCTTTCTATTATAACAATGTTGTTTCCACTAATATTAAATCTCGTATCTCGCTTTAGGAATTTTTAGGTTCCGACATTCCAAACAATTTGATGGCCATATGTACAATACTTTAATTGATATGATGCCACAAATCAATTGTAACTGTTGTCGGCCGTTAAATGGGCCGTAAATTGTTTTGTTATTGAACAGAAAACAAGGTTTTGACCTTTTCACGATAATACAATACCTAAGACGTTGTTGTGTTTATGGCAAGCGATATTCTTGCTACATATGATCTTTTAAGAATTGACCAGTATTCCCGGAAAAGCAGTGACGTCATGTTTTATAGCCGACGTAACACGGTGAGATAAAAAGTAAGGTGCAAAATCAATCAATTGTGGAAATTCTAAAGAAATAGCCTATAGTATATGTACATATTGCAGATCTTATATATAGGTATAGTGAGTTTATATAGGTTAATGTCACTATAGCTATAGTAATGGAAGCTAATTTATTTTGTAGTAACAATAAAATTGGACCTTGGACAAGCGCTGGTATTCTCCTCGTTTGATTATGGGCTTACAGTCTTTTTATCTATAACGTAAATAAATGTAAAGTTCAGTGCAAAGACTGCGCATCAAGATCTGATAATGCAATTTACTTGATACATTTCCTCTTCATTAATATGACCCTGAGTAGCGTTGAGGTTATAACAATAACCATTTTCTAACATAAAAGACGTTAAAATTGGTAATGAAATAAAATTAGTGATATATTAAAAATATTTAAAGAGAAATAATATACTTTATTGCACACTATAACATAATTAATATTGAACATGTACGTAGAATTTGTACCATAGACGGCTTTATCGCTAAAAAGGAACTTTCCAAACCAATTCTTGAAATTTTTCATTTAATGAAAATATAAGAATAATAGAATATGTTGCGATGTATTATCAACAATCCTCCCTCTCTCTCTCTTTCCCTTTCTTTTCCTTTTCTCTCTCTCTCTTTCTCTAGATATACGCATTATTTTGATGCTTGGAGTTCTAAAAAGTTTATAGTTAGTCCATAGCCAACGAAGGTATAGTTTCTATTGCTTTAATGGACATAGGAGCATGTGGTGCATCTATTGTGACGTTGTTACCGGAGTCAGGGTTCTCAACATGAAATTCGCCAATTTCATTGAGACATGATTTCACAGGCTCAATTGTATTGTATAAATATTATCTTAAACAATCAAAGTAAAAACTGATTGCTTTTGAAACATGAAGTGATATAAATCCATCAGTTAATGAATTTTTAACAAGACATACATTTGAGAACTAAAATTCCATCGATTCCAGCACTCGATATTAAATTCCATGTAAAAGTATTATTGATTCCTGAATTAGTTAGCATTGTAATTATAGATACTCCGTGTAACTATCGCCCCGTGAATTTCTCGTCGGATCTTCTCAGTGGGTCGCGATTCCTATCCGGTGGTAGATTCTGCGAAGCACTGCTCTTGCTAGGGCTAGTGTTGGCAAATTTTCTCAGGTTGAGCCCGCGAGGACATCTACCCGCCCACGCGTAGCTAGAATAGCCCCAATAGGCAAAAATATAATTATGTAAATTATTGAATTTAATGACATTTCGACTTAAGCGAAATAAGGCGAAAAATGTCAAATGACGTCACATTAGGTACACGATTCGTTATGTAGGACTTTAGTCCAGGGGATTTTTTCTTGATATGACCTACCTGAGTCACAAGAGACCTTTGTTCAATAATTACTTTAAATGTTTCGAGGGACAGTCCCTTGCAATTGTAATAAATGTCAAGACAATTATTAACTTTATTTTATTCCATTCATTTCTAGTTTTAGCGCGCGTTTGGACCTTTTTTTATAACTGGGGAAACAAATCGGGCACTTCGCGTAATTCGCGTAATTCGGTGCCAATTTAGGATTCCCAGTGTCAAGGGTAACAGAGACTGATAAAGATACTTATATGTGTTCAAATATATAGATAAAAAAAATCACACAGTTTGCCTGATGTGGGAATCGAACCCAGGACTCTCGGCGCAGCAGTCAGAAGCGCTAACTACTGCACCACCAAGTCAGTCGAAGAAGTGAAGTTCGACCTTGGTGATGGTATACTGGAGGCGGAGTATCTCCATCTGGTGTGGTTCTGTTGTGAAGTGTTTCAATTTGAAGATTGAGATACCTGATAAACTGTACAATTGAAATTTGGATCTGTTACCTTGAGGTGAGTGGAGGTTTTTGCGATGTGATATGTTTTTCGATATTGGTGCCTTTAGGATGGATGTTCTTCGAGAGCTACTGATACCATCATCCATACCATCATCATCCTACTCATACCCCAGTTTCCACCATGGACCAAAAGCAATTTAGAACGAATTTGTTTTTGTTTCAAATCACGTAAACTTAGAATCCAGAATGACGCCATGCAAAAATGTTGATTGACTTGTTTTTGATTTTAGGGGTGGGGAGGGAAAGAGAGAGAGAGAGAGGGACGTAGAGAAGGAGAGGGCGAAAGATTTAGCACCTTCAATGATAGTAGATAGTATTATTACTCCTCGCAAGCTAAAAGTGTGTGACTCTGGCCTCCGGGAACTGCTCAGCCATCGTCCCCTAAAAAAACGGCGTCTTAACTTTAATTTTCTACTTCTAAGATCAGTTAATTCTCTCCCTCGACGAAGGACTCGGCGAGTAAATTAACCCTCAGACACAGCCCACTGAGTTTCTTGCCGGATCTTCTCAGTGGGTCGTGTTTCCGATCCGGTGGTAGATTCTNTAAAAGTGTGTGACTCTGGCCTCCGGGAACTGCTCAGCCATCGTCCCCTAAAAAAACGGCGTCTTAACTTTAATTTTCTACTTCTAAGATCAGTTAATTCTCTCCCTCGACGAAGGACTCGGCGAGTAAATTAACCCTCAGACACAGCCCACTGAGTTTCTTGCCGGATCTTCTCAGTGGGTCGTGTTTCCGATCCGGTGGTAGATTCTACGAAGCACTGTTATTCCTAGGGCCAGTGCTAGCAACACCTCCGGTTTGAGCCTCGACAGCTCACCTACATGCTAGGGTAACGCTGATATAGCCTCTCAAGGCTATCAGCATAAGTAGGGAAAAAAAGTGAACCCTCAATAGAAACTAATAGGGCGGTGAACAAAACAAGCCTTGCTTTTCTGTTTTATTGTATAAATTTCACCAGATTAAAAATAAAGCAATAACAGCATAAGTATTAAAAATGTATTAAACAAATAAAACATTGTATGTCAATTACAATATAAATGTAAATTTTATGAGAATTTCTTTAATATTTTATACCCAAACACCATTTATTTGTATAAATCATTTAAGATATAGTTAGGAATTCTTCAGAAGTTAGGAAATACATTTGTCCTGTATCAATTGTTTTCCATCTTTGCACCGCATTTTCAGGGCCATACGATATTTTCTATCCAGTCAATGAAACTGGATACCCGAGTATAAATCCCGGGTGTGTTCGCTTGAGCACATCCGATGCCGAATGACGTCACTCCGATAATATGGTAGATGTTGTAAGCGGAGTCTACCTTTAAGTTAATTTTGACTTGAAGTGGTCCTCCGGAGTCACCCTGTGACGCAAAATATTTATTTTTAAGCATTTAATTACACAGCAGATAATTACGGCATTTAATTACACAGCAGATAATTACACAGCGGTTTATTCGCCAAGACCAATTTTGTTAATTTTATAATCATGTAAAATCTGTCTAGTGTATGATTTAGTGATTTGGTTGATTCTTAAAGATTAAAAAAATCTATATTTTTCCAAATTGAATATCAAATGGGTAAATATTTTTATTTTTATTGTAAAAGTCTGCATGTTTGTTTTTCGAATCACGTAAAATGGCTACCAAAAGAAGTAACTACTATGTACTATTAAGCATTTATTGAATTTAACATACAATAGTTTTTAAATGTTTGCTATAATTTCAATAAATACAGTGTTACATGTGCAACTGCGTTTTTCTGTGATTTTATGTACCAACGGATGTATCAAAGAACTGATAGATTATATACCAGACTTAAGCCGTTTTTCATAGCGGGAAATGTTTAATTTTTCTAACTGTATCTAATAATTTCTTATTCTTTTTAAACTAATATTATAAAGCAGAAGAGTTTGTTTGTTTGAACGCGCTAATCTCAAGAACTACTGGTCCGATTTGAAAAATTCTTTCAGCGTTAGATAGGTCATTTATTGAGGAAGGCTATAGGCTATAACATCACGGTAAGACCAATACAAGTGGAGCAGCAATAAAGAATGTTTCAAAATTGGGGTTTAAATAGCTCCATAATTATAATTCAAAGATATTTTCACTTTCTACGTAAGTGAAGTGGGAGGTAAAATTTAGCGTTATGCCAAAGTACCCAACTATTCCACGCGGACGGAGTCGCGGGCAAAAGCTAGTTCTTTCTAAATTGATTTTATTACACAACCTGACAAGAATCGACGCCGCCTGTTAGTTTCCCCGCGCAGAGCTGATGATCCATCAAGCCACACCAGTTCCTATTGCAATAAGCTTGGAGAAGTTGATCGCACATATCACTGTCGATCACATTGACATCGCCTGCTTGCAGCTCCGGAGAGATATCTGAACTTCCTGAGAAACAATTTACGATTATTGGGTTAACGAAGATTTTTTTTATTGCTTAGATGGGTGAACGAGCTCACAGCCCACCTGATCGTTAAGTGGTTACTGGAGCCCATAGACATCTACAACGTAAATGCGCCACCCACCTTGAGATATAAGTTCTACGGTCTCAGTATAGTTACAACGACTGCCCTTCAAACCGATACGCATTACTGCTTCACGGCAGAAATAGGCGGGGTGGTGGTACCTACCCGCGCGGACTCACAAAAGGTCTTACCACCAGTTTTTAAGCTATTCGTCGTACAGTTGACTATAAATCAGAGGAGTCGAGGATTTAGGGAAGATTCTAAGAGATACCATACTGTATGAGAGTCACATGATGATACTAGTTTATGTTTGATAATTACGATGAATTCGTCAAATGTTTCCAAAACAGAATATGAACATAAAAAATGCGTAGGAATATTTTTGGGGAAACATATTCAGAAATTGTTCCTTAAATTCGAACAGATGAGTATTTATTCATAGTCCTTTTTTGAGATGCCTACGAGATCCTTAAGACGACACTAGAACGTTTTTTTTATTTTTAGTAATATTTCCTTTATCATTTATTGCAAATCAGAATACCGGTTTGAAATGATATTATTAAACTGACCGCGTCTTATTTACAATTTAGATAGCTCTATAAGTTTTTTATAACGAAGTCGGCCGTGAGCTTGCAAGCCCATTTTCGCTCAAAAAGTACCTTCGTGTAAAGCACCCCAGCCGGTCACAGTGGCAGAAGTTCCTAACTCCGCTATATCAGGCTTACTCCAGAGACACGAAGGGAAGACATACTTGCTAAATTCAACGTCATGGTCTAATTCCATTAAAGCTATATCGTAATATTTATTCGGCGGACTGTATTCTGGATGGACGATAATCCTCTTGATACCAACGTCGTACTTTTTCAACCTAATTTCATTTTCCTGTAAATTGATAAATTTGCACATTTTAAATTAAAATTTGTATTTATGATCAAAATCGTTGAAGAAATCTGTATTGAAAACTAAAGACTGATATCGTTAGAAGCTTTAAGGCATTACTCTGCCATGTATTTGAAGCAACTCTATACACAAATTATGTGAATACTCAGAACGATATATATATTGCCCTTTGTTCTAAAGCTGTTTCTAAAAACTATGACCCCTTAAGGGCGCATAGCGTTAAATCGTATAAGTCTCGTTGGGGATTGGCTGTGTTTAAAAATGAGCACGCGAATCAAATAAGTCATCACACCCAACGACTTCATAGTTTCTGTTTTTAAAACCGTACTTAAAATATTATGATTGATGGGTGAACGAAAAGTTCGAATTAATGCATCATCTTTGTCGAAATTGACGAACAAGTGGTGGCAAATTGCTTTTAATAATGAAAAATCTGAGTAGGAGCTACATTTTTGTATATAATTATTTAATGCTGAAGATACTCCCTATTAAGGCTAGCTATGACATTTTCTAAATTGCTCAGATGAGTGAAAGAGCTCTCAGCCCTGCTGTTTAGTGGTTGCCCTCCCATCTTTAGAGATTAGTTTTAAATCTGCATTCTTAAATACAAATGCTGCTCTTCCCTTAAAACCGAAACGGATTACTCGCACCAGAAATAGGCAGCACTATGGTAGCTACCCGTGCGGACTCACAAGACGATATCTTACGACTATTTCAAAATCAAAATTGAGCTTACCACAAAAAATATATTTCTGAAGTTGAGCCGAACGATTTTTGGCGTTACATCCTGTAATGTGGTATCGCTTGCCGAAGCCACAGAGCAATGAGCTGCGGTGAGAATGTAACTGGGACTGATCAGTGACCCACCGCACTTAAATTGCCAGTTATTTCTAACACCCTTCCATCCTATAGCACCCTAAAAGTTGGTTTAATCTACACATTTAAATAAAATTAGAGTGTCTGTTTGTAATATTGAAATAACCGCTTTTTACTACATGCATATGAATATATATATACGGTACATACACCAAAATAACATTTTTTACAATTTTTGTCTGTCTGTTTGTTCCAGCTAATCTCTAGAACGGCTGGACCGATTTTAACGGGACTTTCACTGATAGGTAGCTGATGATATAAGGAGTAACTTAGGCTACTTTTTAGGCTAACTTTGCCTCGCGGCGTCACCCGCGGTACGATAATAACATCGCGGGACTCGGCTAGTCTTAAATAAAACAAAAAAGTAAAAAAAATCGATTCGTAATTAAATATAGCCAATATTTGCACACGAGAGAGCCACTTAATGTAAATAAAAGTAGCATTTTGCTATTGGAAAATCAAAATGATTATAATAATGTCATCTAGTTACACGAATTAATAAAATTGCTTAAGTTCAATTATTCTTCTAATGTCACTAATAAAATTGCTAAGTTTAATTATTATTCGCCTTTAATTCTCACTTTAACCCTGCTATTAGCTTAAAAAAATAAAAAAGGCATCTAAATCAAACTAGAAATCGAAGGCATTCGTTATTAAGAACCTTAGTCAACAACTAACCAGTTTCTTACCAAAAAGAATTTCACACTTGTATCGTACGCAGTAGTAAGTACTACTTAAACCAAAACATACCATATGAAGAAATTCACCGGGGATTGTATCTCGTCCTCCAACGATTATTGGTATTTTTTTAATGCGTCCAGAATTTGTTTCTTGGCCTGTGATTCGAGTATTATTATCGAAAATGATTAATTTTACATTGGTTTCTTTATCTTTGTTAAAATACTAATAAAATTATAAATAGCGAATAGCTTTCATGATAGATTTTTAGATTCGCTTATTATATACATAATCCCTATACAGACAATACAATTTGTGATGCCCATGGGATCTGATAACACCAGTTGCCTAGCGAACACTATAGCGAAATATTTAAACAAAAGTGTGACTTGAAAATATCGGAGATACTCAACGATCTAGTGATACTGGATGATACTGATGACAGTGATGATACTGGATGGAACTCTAGCTACAGTATGTACCATTTTTTGGATGTCATCTTGGGGTCATGTTTCAAGGTCTGTGACGAGATTCATTCACAGCACCAAGCTAGCAGTCAGCTTGTTGACGTATCAAGGCAATAAAAAAAAGCATAGCAGACAAAAAAGTAAAACAGAGAAGTTTTAGACATTTAACTTCAGTCTATAAATAATAACAATGAAAGACTCACACTTAAAATCTCTTAGAGCTTTTATTGATTTCGTTTCTAATTCCCATATGTACTCCTGACATTCTGTGAAATAAATTGAATTATGTGTTTTTGGATGTTTGGATCACTAAATATGGCAGTTTTTTTTGTCACTAGGTTTGTGGAGAAGTTCTGGGCCAAACCGGGATGAAGTCGTTGCGGCAGTCCATTGACGTTTTAAAATGAATATCGCCAACCACCTTGAGGTTCTCTTCAATCCATAATATACCATAGCTTCGTGAAAAAAATTGCGACAGTAGTGAAACGTTAGATCCTCACAAAAATGTTACCGTTACTAATTGCTTAATCAATGCTTTGGTTTTGGTTAGTTTAGTTATCGCTGTTGGCGGTATAAATGGCCTTCCTAAATGAGGCCACGAAGGCGCAATGGTCCGTTCTGGAGAGAGACGTGGCTTAGCGATCCTTTGGTGGCCAATGGATCGTCGAGCTGATACATCTATAGGAACAGTGATGGTTGATTCAACAAAACAGATTGAGATGGCGATAATCACGTTTCTTTGAATATTTCTAACTTTTATTTTGTTTCGTCATTATATTGATGATTCTCATGGAATTACTTACTGACTTCACTAATACGTCTTCCAGGTAGACTGAAATTTGGTTTTGGAGGATCATAAGCGACGCAAGGATCTTCATTTTGGTCGACTGGAGTTCGAGGTGATGTTTTTATCAAGGGTTGGCTTTTTGTATTATTTTCTGCCAGCGTTCTCTGTTGATTACATTATCGGGTAAATAAATAAATCAAAAGTGTTATTTTATTTTTATTACTGACACCAGAAGCATAAAGTCGGATCGTAACTAAACTATAAAATATTTTAACTATAAAATATTTTTTCTCTCAGTTAAAATATTGTTACGATCTAAAGATTCAAAACAAAATACTGAACAGTTTCTCAGAATTTAAATCACGAAAGAGTTCACAGAATATTCGTATTCCGCAAATGTAGCACGTAACGAGTATTAGTTTACTTTATATCGTTTTTCACTTTCTCGTATTAGCTTCTTCAGGGACAAATTTTTGAAAGTGCCAAAAACATGAATTTAATTTATGACTTATCACGTTGATTTGTTTTACACTAACTTTAAAGTTACAAAAAAATTAAGACAAGAGATTTTAGACAAGAGAGAGACAAGAGAGAGAGAGAGACAAGACAAGACATTTTTTTAAATGTCCAGATAAGTAGCCATTTAAAAAATGTGGCCATTTAACGTAGAATTAAATATAAATGCCAATAACCGAGGCTATAAAAACCGCCGAGGACAGGAAGACGTGGGTAAGCATAGTGCATCGAGTAGTCAACATTTCAAACTAGATATGACCTTCAGCAATGAAGAGACCGACTCAGAAGAAGAAGAAATATAAATACATAATTAAATAAAACAAAGGTACAGATATGTGCCAATTTCTCTGAAGAGGTTAAGCAATTACAGGTGACTCAGTGAGGCTTTTGCAAATTCACCGGGATGTATGGGCGCACTAAGGGCTCAGTCTGGGTAGGGCTTACTAACAGCTGGCCGAGCACCTCAGGAGGACTATTCTCTCCTGCTTCACGATAGCAGCTTACATCGGATTGGAATTGAGACCCTATCAGCGGATCGCATATTCAGCAAGAAACTTAGCAAGTTAAGTGGGCTAAATGCGCCGTTGAACTCTTCGAAGACCTCGGTGAGTACGGTGACGTAAGCTGTGGAGCTGCTACTGTTAGAACCAGTAGCTTTCAATAACAGTGACAGTAGATCGGTTAGATCCTGGATACAGGTGTTTAGGGTCAAGGCTGGTTGACTGCTGAGTGAACCGGGTCGGAGATGTAGTCAGGTAGCCACGATAAGCAGGTTATTGTGTCACATTACAGCGCGGTTTTCGTATGAATACAAATATAACAAATACAGCTTGAATAATTGTTTTGGGAGTTGACACCATGGATATTCGACTTTATGAATCAAATGCCGCGAGACTTGTCCGTGTAATTTTGAACAGAAAATAAGAGTTCGAAATTATGTTACCAATAGTTATGCTCTTTCAGTTTTATCCATCTGTTAATTTAGAAAAACTTATCAGTGATAACATTTTGAAACATACAACTTACACTATGAATATTATCATCAACAGGTCCCCAAATCCATTTATCTTCGTTCTAGAAAAAAAAAACAAGGTTTTGACCAAAATAATTGTGGTATTGTTCACATCACAAACGTTCCAGCTCGAATAGTACGTATTTATATATAGGTATCTAAAAGAACTAACTAGATACTTTCCAACTAAAATCGTGACCGGAATTTCTTTCTCATTCACAGCTCGAACCCAATAAGTTTGATCGTCAGTTCTTCCCATCCACTTCATTCTCAATTGAGATTGAATTAAACCAAAAAACTTTAAAGCCATCTTTTATTTGTGGACATTGAAATTTGTTACGAACATACTGCAAGGAAAATAAAAACACCCCGTGTGCCAAATTTTACCATCACTTTGTTTGCAGAATGTGATCTGTGTTTTATGATTAATTATAATAATATGTTTTCAGATATCAATATTACCACACACAAACTCTGGAACTCCTCACGATTGGGTTTTTTGAGTGTGACATCTTAATCAGTCTTTGTAAAGAGTGCTACCGATGGTCATTGGCATTGGCGATGTCCACGGAACTTGAGCACTTCGCTGTGTGGTGCTTAAATAACACCACCCCATCTCTTTGCGTAGGTGTCATTAAAGATGACTAAAATATTTACCAGGAAATGGGCAGCGGCGTCCTTGATATATGACTATAAGCATACTGATCGCTAATTAACATTTACTAGTATTTTGAGGGTGGACCACTGTGTAATAATACAATTGAGATTTCGACTTCATGCTTCAAGGTTTGTACTTTGCTGTCTATCAACCTTAATATTTAGTGGACCTTTAGTTCATCGGTCCATCGAATACGAGAGATCTACTCACGGAGAGACTTTTGTTTATTGTGAAATCCGTTGTTTCATTAATTCGTTCAGCAGACGTTGCAACTGTAACAAAAAATTAATCATGTCTAATAACCTCTCACATAGCAGAAACCTTACATAATTATAAGGCGCATGATTGCTTTTTGCTTTTGTTGTAACTTATATTTTTGTTCATTGAAATAAAAGAGAATTAGAAAATTTATATGTACGTTTTAATAATGGGTAGTGACGATTGTCCAAGATCCGCCAAAACTATGACTGACTATTTCTCTGAAAAAGTCAGTTTTTTTTTTAAAATTACTTAGCGCTACAAGTATTTTGATGAATTGAATTGTCAAAAACAGCTAAACAAACAAATGGTCAATTTGATCGGCTTGTGAACGCGAATGTGCTTATGAACAAACTAACAATAATTTCTATTCCATTAAATTGGATAAATAGCTTGTCAATTTTTAGTCGCACCGAAGTAGCGGCTCAGATTAGTAGTCGGGTTAGAATTTGGCTATCAAAGAATAGAGGATATAGGGCGAAACAATTCTTTGAAGTGGATAAAGCCTACAGTTTCTTCATTTTCGTATCATATCGCAAATACACAGTACAATTGGGTTTTCCCACTCATAATTCTAGATGGTGGATAGCAGAACTACAGTGTAATGTTTATGGCTTTTGGGAACAACTTAATATTTGATTGGCTGTGAGTTTGGTCATACATCTAGTGCATTTATTCGTAAACGTCTTATAAGCTCGCACGGATATCCTATCTACTACCGCTATACCATAAAAGGGATACTAAGATCCTATGTCTCAAGGTGGGCTCTGGTAACTACTGAAAACTAGACGAACTATGCGTTCGTTCATCCATTTAGTTAATAGTAAAAAAGATTAACAAATTAAATCAGTAACGTATAACGCGCAAAACAAATTTATACTTTAGATTTTTATAAGCCAGTAATGATTTATGATTCTCGATATCATAAATAATATTACTGAATGTTGTAATATTATGCTATTTATAGTAATCATTTACGTAGCCTTGTGGAAAATTTCGGTTCTTAAGTTATAAATATTTTGCAATGAAATGTATTTACTGGGATGTCAAGCTCACAAACAAGCCTTCCTTCTCCCCGAGTTGCATTCCTCATTTCTGAGGGTCGTGACCATCTCCTCCCATTATCCTTCTCAGGATGATGTTTCGCCATCTTCCTCTGTTCTCAGCGGTGTGTTGACATAGTAGACGGTGGTATCCAGAGTGGTGTGGGTCTGGTCGGACCAGCGCATTGGATTGACAAGCCTTAATCGGTTACTAAAGGTTACAAGACACATTTTGCCGCGATTGAACCTTTACGCATTTTTCCAGTTGTCAACCCGGAACTTATAATTAGTAAGGATAGTGGTGACGAACTCTAATTTATCATAATACGTCTGGGGACTCCGAGTCAGCACTACTAAAATAACATTTTCTTAAAGTATACTTAGAAGAAGAGTCTTATTAATAAATATGAA